TTTCGGACTGTTAACTGCCTTTGACCGGTGTTGACCAGCAACCCCAGCAGTCCAAGTCACCAGCCCACTTCAGCCCAGCAACAGTCTCCTGCTCCAGCTTTACTGTTGCTCCAAGTGCTCTAGCCAGTCCAAGTGCAGCTCAAATCCAACCCAAGTTGAAGCCCAGCAGTCCAAATGGCCCAGCCCAGCAGTTCCTTCAGCAACCCAGTGGACCAGCTCCTCTTTAGAACTTAGCTTTCCTTCAACGCGAGTGCAGTGAACAGTCGACACCTCCAAAGTCAGCTCTGCTCCAGTGAAGGGAAATGTCCAGCGACACTCAGCCTCCAGCCACTGCGTCAATCCCGCGGCCAAGCCTCTGCCTCATCGTCCAGGTACATCGGAGCCACAAACCTCCGACCAGCTTCCAACGAACGACTTCAGCGACGAGATTCCAGGTCCAGCCTCGAGCTCAGCAAACCAGCGACGAACGGCGAGCTCTCTCTCCGGTGACGACTCCGAGGTGGACTCAGGCTTCAGCGGTAAATGATTTCAGCAGCAAAGCCGTCAGTGAGCAACTACCTCTCTGGCGACGAAGGTGAACTCAATGGCGAGGACGAGTCGTGAGAAGACCTCCACTGTCTTTAATCAACGACCAGCAACCTCGAACGACGGAGAACGGAGGCGGACGGCGGCAGACGGCGGAGGAGTACGGTGGCAGGCGGCAACCAAAACAACTCAGGTCTCCAACCACTGTTGGGTTTGGGTGTGTATTTCAGTTCAGGTCTCCAACCAAAACAACTCACACACACCAACCCAGGATGTTTAGCCACTCCACCACTCACCAAGTTTAGCATACTCTATCCTCACCTCTCTAGCTCTCACTCACAAAGAGGAAACTATCAGGAAGAAGACACTCACTAAACTGTTTCACACTCATTCACACATCACGCACAGTGAAGAAGAGAAGTTTGTATGCCACACCCATTACAAAGGATAAGAGTCAACTCTTATAGCAAAGGAAAATATGCCTTACTAATCAACTATAAGAGTAAGACAAATCAAGGGGAGCCCAACAAAGGTAGTGGATAGAATAGCAACAGGCAGAACAATAACAAGGCCATGTGATTAGGTAGTGAACAAACTCAAGAGGAATTAATAGGAGTACAGCTAAACTTAGGGTGCAGGCCTTAACACAAATAAGTGGAAGAGAGGCCTCCAACAGACTTTCAATAGTACAATATGTTAAAATGTATAGTAGGAGTTTATGCCTACTAAACATGTACTAAGAATTATTTAAGTGGTAATATTGGCCAGAAATAAGAAACTAACAATAAATTTGGGCAGGACGAAGATGGGGCAAATACTATGTTGGCCCAATCCAATTGCTAATATGCTATGGCGCAGTCATCGGCAATACTTTGCTGGGAGGACAGTGTCTCAAGGTTTGTCACAAAAGTTGCATGGACTATAAGTGAAGTTTGAATATGAGTTTTAGAACTCGATATGATCATATGTCGTATTTTGTTTCGTTGAAAGCGTTTTTTGTCTCGTTAGAAAGTTTCTATCGAGTTTTAAAAGTCTTCAGAGTGAATTCGGCAGTGTTTTTGAATTTTAGTGTGAAACACATCTATTTATATTCTCCTAATTATATTCTCCAGCTTTTTCTCAAAACCTAAATTTAGAAGTATAAAATTTGGAGCATATATACCTCTTGGGCGTCTAGGCTCTTGCCCTCTTGGTCTCAAACAAATTTTAGTTCCCTTCCCGCATTGGCTGATGTTAAAAAATGCTCTATCTTTCATATTGAAATTTGTATTTTTTCGTTTAAATATAAAGCACATTCAATTAGATTTTTAGGTATAATAATTTAAGTAATTGCTTTAGTATGTTAGTATTTTATTATTAGCATTGTTGCAGACAATTTATATGCTGTCAAATCCAAACGGGGACATGAGACTGTATGAATTTGTGGGTATGCTTGGGCTGGTGACGTTGGTGTTGGCCCAAATCCCATCTTTTCACTCCTTGAGACACGTAAACTTGGTTTCTTTGCTGCTAAGCCTTTCTTATAGTGCCTGCGCCACGGCGGGTTCCATCTATATTGGTATGCAAATAATATTCATACCCCAAAAATAAATGGAATAAAAGCTTGTTTTGATTATTTTACAATTAGCTAAAATGGCCTTGTATTAAAGCTTTAGTCATTTCTGTCAAAAAAGTAACCCAATTGTCTTCATCTTTACTAATTTTGATTATTTTACAATTTACCGCGTAAAACCAAAAGTTACATGTTTGAAAAAATTGATTCTCAAGTCTGATAAGCTGAATAGAGAGATTGCTGAAATGGCTCTTAGTAAAAGATATTTTTCGATCTTTTTAGTGATAACGACGTAGGGTCCACAATCTAAACCTAAAAGGAAAAGATTGTGGGTGTGTTTGGATAACGACGTTTCAACTAAAACTATAACGATTTGACCACTTCTAGCGTTTTCTATAGGTGGAAGCGATGATTCATGTTGTTTGAAAATGGGTATTTAGCTCTTGCTTTTTTGGACGGAATTGTTGAATTAAAACATTGCAAATAACAATATTTTAGGTTTAGCATTTTGAAACAAACATATTGAATCTACTAATCAAATCCGATGACAAAAACCGCTACTACATATCAACCATCTGTTTGGTCCTCCTACTCTATGTATCCTTTTCATTCTAATAAATTGGTGGAGTGTTCCCTGACCCCCACGGCCCCACTCCAAAAGTCTTGTGGGCTTTTGGAAACTTCCGGGTCAAAAAAATCAACCATCCGTTAAAAGTTGATTGTTAAATTGTTCTATGACTATTTTTTTTAGACAAAAAAGTTTATGACTATCTTTTTTAGACAAAAAAAAGTTTATGACTATTTTTTTTAGACAAAAAAAAAAGTTTATGACTATTATTATGTTACTGAAAACAGGAGTTTCATCGAAAGGGCCAAATAAGGATTACAGTGTGAGTGGGGATAAGGAAACACGTATTTTTGGCATATTTAATGCTGTAGCTATCATCGCCACTACCTACGGCAATGGCATCATTCCTGAGATTCAGGTCCCTCATCTTTGCCCCTACCTTTCTCCCATTTTATTTAGATTTGCATGTGTATTTACTGGGAAAATTTTTCTTTTACATAACTCCATTCAATGCAACAATGATATGGATTGAGAATACATATACTTCCTCCATTCTCTTTAGTTGTAATGTTCACTTTTCACGTTTTTCAACGCACAAATTTGACCATTAATATCTTTCATTTCTTATTAGTTAAAAAGTTTAAAAAAAAAATATTTTGAAAATTTAAAATAAAAGAAACTTAACAATGTTTTTTAAAAAATTACTCTACAATACCTTAATAAGGAAAATATAATCAAAGTAGAGTATTTGAATAGCGAAAATTCACCAATGTTATAAATCCTTGTCAATCTCAAACAGACTAATAACTAATATTTCAAACCAGACTAGCTCCGTTCGATTAAACCCTCCTACTAGTAACTACATTATATTAGTGCAGGCAACATTGGCTCCACCAGTGAAAGGGAAGATGTTGAAAGGACTTTGTATTTGTTACGCAGTAGCGACCGCAACTTTCTTCAGTGTCGCCATTTCTGGCTATTGGGCATTTGGGAACAAGTCCAAGGCTATAATCCTCAGCAACTTCACTGCAACTACACATGATAATAACAATTATTTTTTGGTTCCCAAAGCTTTCGTTTTAATCACCAACCTGTTCGCCATTTTGCAACTCTCTACTGTGGCTGTGGTAAGAATTGCATGATTCACCCCCCCCCCCCCTCCCTATGTGCTTGCTCTCTAATCTCTATGTGACGTACCTTGAAAATCTGTTGATCATTTTTGCTATATTATAGGTATACATGCAGCCAATAAATGAGTTGTTAGAAAGAAGGTTTGGGGATCCTAAGAGTGAAGAATTCTCTACCAGAAATGTGATTCCAAGAGTGTTATCAAGATCGCTGTCAGTCGCAGTTGCCACCGCATTAGCTGCTATACTGCCGTTTTATGGAGACATGGCTGCTCTTATTGGTGCAATCGGATTTATGCCGCTGGACTTTGTGTTACCAGTTGTTTTCTTCAACTTAACGTTCAAACCTTCAAAGAGGAGTGCTGTTTTCTGGCTAAATGTGGGTATAGCTGTGGTGTTTTCCATGGTGGGAATAATTGCAACAATTGCTGCTATGAGACAGATCATTCTTGATGCTAAAACCTATAGATTATTCACTAATGTGTGATTAACTTTAGTTGAGCAACAATGAAGGTGGGCAGGTTTCAGCATTTCTTGTGGGGCCATTATATTTGCTTTTCACCAGTATTTAGAAAGATGGCATGATTATATGACTAAAATGGCTTACTATGTTGAAATTGTGACAGAAACTACAGAATTATCTACAAGTCAAACTCTGTTATCGATGTTATACTAAAGAATAGAATGTCTAAAAGGTTAGTAGTAGACATGTTTCAGTTCATTTTAGGAAAAAACGTGTACTTTTAACTTGTCGATCTAATATAGTTAATGCTGCCAAATAAGTCAGTCCCGTGTGCCAGTTTAAAAATAAACCAAATCTGACTGATAAGTTTAAGGGAAATTTCCCTATATAGGACTACAAGAGTAATAACATTCTGGGATTTCAAAATTAGACTACTATATTTTTCTTCCCGAAAAAGGGGCCTTACTGGCATGATCTAAAAATATTGCCATTTATGGCAATAAATACAGTCATGCTAATGCTAAGTATTGCAACTACTTTGGCAGTAATGACTCCAAGATGACAATAAATGCTACCATCTTACTCTTATTTTGAGAAGAAAAATATAGCAATCCTAGTTTAGAATTCCAAAATCTGTTTAGTCCGATTTCGGGAACATTCCTAGAGTTTGAAACTAACATGATTTGAATGATAAACAAAAACGGGGTGCTATGAGTTTGAATGATTTGAATGATTTGGTTTATTATGTTCTTTTATGAGTTTGGCAGCGAGTAACGTTGTTCACACTTCACAAAGATAATGACCACTTGCTCAAAGAAGCATTAGAGCTTCCATAAACCAAAATCCTCAGCTTAACCAGCTGATATGACTAACTTTCACTAGTGACTACCATATTGATAAATCGCTGTCATCATTAGTTGAGTTTTGAATGAAAAAAAAAAAAAGACAAAATGAATAACTGATCAATTATATGTATTTCACTCATCTTCATATGTATGCCCATAAAGCTTTTGCCAATGCAAGGATGCTTCTTCTGGCGTCCGAAAAGTCCATATGTGAGGCTTGGTTTTCTCACGCTTTTCCAAAATTTCCTGTTGGAAATCCAAAAAAAGAAAGATAGTATCATGTAGGTGATATAATATGAACTTCAAATTGTGAACGTAGTACTCTCAATTGGAAAATATCCAAGTGATATTCCCCCATGAAGTCTTAGAGTAGCCTAGTAATATGCTACGAAGTATTATTATATGCTACAATGAATGGAACAATAAAGATCGATGAAATTATTGTGTTTCAGGGTCCTATGGAAATCAAGGGTCCTGAGCTTGTTGTGTGGATGTAACAAGGATGTTTTTATTGATTCAATATTTGAACATTGATGTTAATTTATATATATTGAATAACATAATACTTCCTCCGTTTTTAAATAATTGCAACAGTTTCCCTATTTGGCAGTTCCAAAAAAACTGCATCACTGCTAATTTAGGTAATTGTCTACAATACCCTTACTCATACCAAAAGTAATCATTACCATCACTTCTCTCTCTTTAAAAGCACCACATACCCACACTCTACTCCCACTCCCCCTCTTGCTAATTTCAATTTATCTTTCTCTTCCTATCACTGATGTACCCCAAGCCACTACCATCATCCATCTCTGTCATTTTATCATTTCCTCATACATACACAACCTTATCTAATTCTCTTATCCCTATTTTTCTTCCTGTGTGGTAGAACTAAGCGAAAGCTCTCATGAATGGCAACAATGAAGCATTACGGAGAATTCCCCTAAAGATTTTATTTCTATTCATTTTTCTTCTTCTGTTATGTTGGGGAACCCATCTGATGCTCCCAATGGTGACAAGGAATTGCTACTTAGGACTCACCTCTAGATGTAAAAACCTCCGTTCACAGGCAAATTTGGTTCCTCTATAGAACTTTTTCTGTAGCAAAAGCCAACGGTGGCTGACAGCACATATTTCATTACTATATTACTTTTATCTTCCCATGAGTATTCTTGTGGATAAGAATGGAAAATAGAAATCAAACCCCGTAAACCTAATTTCTGTGCCTAGATCCATGTTGCAATTATATTCGAATGGAGGGAATACTACTTGAATAAATTGACGCCACTAGTACTACAATCTGGCTCCATCCCTGTCTAAGGCATATACAGAGATGGTTAAAAGAGACGGTTAAAAGAGAAAAATGGAATGTAGCCAGAGCTACAAATCACGGTATATGCAGCAAGCATACCTCCACTTCAGCTTGCGACTTGGTTTTTAGTCTCAAACAGTCATAAAGAGCACTCCATTTATTTGAACAGTTGTCAAGTTTACCCAGCCTATAGTACTGCTGCATTTGATGGACCGGAGCTGCCACAGACATAATTTACACACTCAGTGAAGTTAAAAAGTTAAGCTGTGTCAAATTACAATCTCACACATATTAAACTTCATAAAAATTAAATATACAAAATTACAAATACTAAGATTAAATCACTGTCATCAGAAATTCAGAAAGAAATTGATAGTAGCAACTCCTTTCAGATTGTGGTGATTAGTCTATGAACAACGAGAAAACCTAATAAACGTGTAATTCCTGCCATTATTTTTCTGCAGGTTCCTTTCTCTACTCAAGATCCCTAATTCTATTACGCATATAACAAGCAAAGCTGGATTTTAAGTAATGAAAAGAAATATCTAAAATTGGAGATAGGAAAGAGCATACTATAGCAGAACCAGAGTGCATCGAAACAGGCTGAGCACGATAGCCGCCGACGTGGTTCCTTTTCTGAGCTCATAGTGATAAACTCTTGCAAAAAAATAGTGTTGATAACGATTCAGTGTCGGAACTCTTCCTTCTAGAACTTCATGGTTTTTCCTTTGAAACAAACCAGGCATCAAATTATCTTATCCACATTAGTGATCCTTCCACTTGGATTTACAAGAATTAGGAATGAGCATACAAGTTTAAGTTTTGGTTTTACCGATTTTTTATTTACTTCAGTTTAATGATTAGAAGAAGCTGCTTCATAAAATATTGCATGGAAATCATATTACACGTTAGCTCACTCTTCAGGCCAGTTTGAAGAGCCAGAACAATCCTTTAATTATTTTACTCCCACCACCTCCTTGCTTGCCTATATCTCTTTTCTGCATCTTTTTCGGCTCTGTAACCCCAAATTATCCTAAGCTAGAATGCTAATTGCTAAACGACTAAATAATAAAAAGCATTGCTGCACATTCTCTCAATTCTCCTAAGCCTGAACAATCGAAAATTGAATAAAATAATAAACCTGTAGACTGTAGCGTTGAAACGTAGAGGGCAGATGCAGTAGAGTAGCAGACGCTTCCTTTTCCTCAATCGGCAGACTGCAGATTCAAATGGTCAAATCACCCAATCGGCTGCCGCTATTCTGGAAATTAGGCTTTTGGCTTCATAACATCAACAAAATTCAAAACAAGGGTCATTTGGTGCCCACAAAGTGCGTAAACAAAATTGTACAGTGCTCATGTAAATAGGTAAGTGTAAACTACACATGGTATTTTTCTCAAAATAAAGGTATGCCCATTAAACTTGTCTCATTTTTTTCTTTTTCATCCGTCTCATTAAATTTGTTTCATATTATATTGGACAATATTTGTGTGATTCTAATTAATTCTTATTTTATTTTCATTTATCAACTTAATATCAACTCTACTTTTCTTAAAAATCATATCATCCCCACTTGTCCCAACCTCAAGGGACGAAGGAATTAATACTTCTATAAAGCAAACGACGTCGTTTGAATTAAGTAAAAGAACACTTTGCCCAACTACATCTCTAGGTTAACGAAAAACAAGGAGCAGGGAAGAAGAACTGAAGAAGACTTGACGCTATGGGGACATTATGTAGACAACCTGGGCCTAGTTCTAGACCGCCTATTTGTGATCCCTTGGGTTATATGAAAATATACTCGATCATGGGTCTCTCACTCCCTCAGAAGAAACTCTTCGAGGCGAGAGGGAGTAATCCGAGCTCTTCCTGCAACCTGGTTCATTCTGCTAAGCATCGCGCTCTTGCCCGGTTTGGTGAATACTGCAATCCTTACCCATGATGACACAATGTCTCGTTAAAAACTTACTTAGGAAAACAATTGTGGGGAAAAATTCTCACCGAGACAAAAGTACATTACCCCAGAAGCGGGTATAGGATTAATGGTAAACCCTTTCTAGGTCGAGAAGTAAGCAAGGTAGTTGGTGGGGTGGCCTTTGGTGAAGCACCGATTGTTCGGATACTTTGTCGAGGCTGAGGTCGAGGTCGAGGCTTGTACCTTCAGAATAGTGATGGCATTGGTGTTGCCAAGATTGATATCTGTGCTGAATGAACTCATTGAGTTGGCGACATGTTGGGGCTATTAGTACCTTGTTGAATTGCTTGATCGTCGAGCCTAGTGTGGCTGGCAATGCTTGTTGAGAAGTGTGATTGTCGACCCGATGTGGGATTATCTTGAAATTCATAAGGATTTTTGAGTCCGGTACTTAGAATCCCTCACTTCTTTTGAGTTCGTAATGTAAAATTAAAGATAGAAAGGAGTAAAAGCTTAATACTTGAGCTGCGTGGAGTCCCCTTGATCGGAATTCTAACACCTGGTGAATCTCCAGGTGCAAAGTTTGGACGGAAAGTGAAACATCTGGCACTTGAATTTTGAATTGATGTGGGGATACGTCTAATTAATTGCAATCCCATCATTAATAGTGACTTTTGAATGTTTAGGCAGCCGACTTGATGGTCGAAACTTCCTAGTGTGCATGACGTCACCACAACGGTTTTGTAGTATCCTTCCATGTGTGGATTTGGAAGATGTTTACTGCCCAGCTCGAAAAGGTGTAACGGCAAATGGTTGCAGCCTTTTTACACTTTCTTTGCGTTCAAACTTCTAGAGTGTTTCCCATTCTACACTTTCTTTGCATTCTGACCTCTGAAGTTGTTTGCCTTCTTCTGATATTGCCATTGACTTCTGATTGCGAAAGGAAATATCTATTCGAGTTAGTTCTTCCTCCCTGGATTTCACCTCAATTCCACGGTAGTGCTCAGATCCCCCCGTTTTCTTTTTTACTCCTCCATCCTTAAAAAAAGAACTTCCAACTTTCCCTTATGTCTATTATCCATTAAAACTTTCACTTTCCTTTTTGGATAAAGAATTTGTGGTTCACAAAATTTCTTATATGTTTCTCTCTCCTCTACACAACTCTCCACCACACAATACTTACTTTCCTAATTTGTGTGTCATTTGTACTACGGAAGAATAGTTAGGGACGAACGGTATATCTATTTTCAGTCAGACAATTCTAAAAAAAATCTAGATTTTCGCCTAAAGGTTTGACCACGCAGGGTGACGCAGTCGAACCCTTGGCCGAGCAAGAGTTTAGGATTGACCTTAGATATAGAATCCTTTAGGCTCAAGATGAACTGTAGTAGACTTTGCCACCTCATATTTTACAATTCGCAATTCGGAAAGGCATCGACCGACTCAAATCAGTTGGGTTGTTGTTTTAGGTGTTCATCTTGTTTATCACAATGTTCATTAAGAATGTTTTGACTTGAACGTAAATTTGCTGGTCTGGTCTACTCTGATCTGGTCTGGTTTAAACTGGTCTGGTAAATGTCTGATCTTTGACTCTATGTGTATTTTATAACTATCCATTTTTGGTCTGCTGTTTGAAAAAACATCATAAGAACATGAAAAAGGACCCAATTTGAAGTTTGCAGCCTTCAAATCTTGTGTTTGGAAACTGATTTTAAAAAATTAAAAATTTCCAAAATAATCTACCTTGTTCTTATCTTTTGTTTTCTTCCCTTCCTGGCTTCCTGGTTCTATCTCACCCTCGAGTCCTCGACTCAGTCAAGTCTGTGCCCTCTGTTGGTACCGCCGAGCCCCTCAATGTTCGCAAGAGATCATCCAAGAGTGTTGCCCATCAAAGAAGATCTCGGATGTGAAAGAGGTCAATATCCTAGCCAGTAGCCACTGATCTAGTGTTGGACCCGGGCCGGGTCGGGCCCGGGCCGGGTCAAGGCCCGGTCGGGCCTCGGGTCTTATAATGGTAGGCCCGGGACTGGCCCGGTCAATGACCGGTTCCGGTTCGGGCCAGGCCACCCGCCCGGGTCACGGGTCGGGCAACCCGCCGGGCCGGGCCAGTATATATATTTTTTTTAATTAATTATATATTATACAATTAATTTTTTTAATACTAGATATAGTAAGTAATATATAATATATAATGTTTATAGTATATAATATATAAGTATACTACTATAAGATGAGTAATACACTTATATTTTATACTTTAATATATAAAGTATATATTAAGTAGATGTAGAATGTATGTGTTAAGTGGATATAATAATTGTATAAGAATTAAATATTAGAGTATAATGGGGAATTGGAGATTGGAAAATAAGAAAATAAGTATATATAAAATAGATATTATAAAGTATATATAAAAGTAGATATTATAAAATAAGTATATATAAAAGGGAAAATGGAAACTAATAATCCAACCTTTTAGCGGTCTTCTTTCAATAATCCCACCTTTTGATTATTCATGAATAATCCAACCTTTGCACCTCATCTTCATTCACTGGTCCGGGATCGGTTAATGACCTACTATTCCAAGTTATTTTCTTATCTTTGTAACATATTATCTTTGTGAATGATGATATTTATGGTATAATGATTTGCAAAGATAAGAAAATAGCTTGGAATAGCAGGTCATCAACCAATCAGGGACCAGTGAATGAAGATGAGGTGCAAAGGTTGGATTATTCATGAATAACTAAAAGGTTGGATTATTGTAAGAAAACCGCTAAAAGGTTGGATTATTAGTTTCCATTTTCCCTATATAAAATAGATATTATTAAGTAGAGAAGTAGATATTATTATGTATTAAGTATATAGTAATAGTTTATAAAGTATATTTAATACTTTATTATATAAAGTATATATTAAGTATATGTAGTATGTATGTATGTATTAAGAAATATAAGTAGAGATTAAGTAGATAAGAAATATAAGTAATATAGTATATGTATTTATAAGTAGATAATTAATATATAAATAGATATAATGATTGTATAAATATTAAATAGTAAAATAAAATATAAAGGAGAATAAGAGAATTTGAGAAGATGAATATGGAGAATTGGAGATGAGTAGAGAGTAGGATTTAGGGAGAGTTGGAGAAGAGGTGTGAAAAAATGTTTAAAATTAGGAATATTTATAGGTTTTTTTTTAACCCCCACCCCCCCCCCCCACCCCCCACCCCCCAAACGCCCCGGACCCCCCCTGGTACCCCCCAACGGCTATATAGCCGTTTGGGAAGTGGCTGTTGAGCCAAAATGTTTTTTTTCAAATTAAAAGAATTTTTTTTTTTAAAAAAACATGACTGTTAGGCCCGGGCCTCCAAAAACAGGACCCGAGCCCGGACCCGCTACCCCAACCGGTTCGGTGCCCGAACCGGACCCGGACCCGAGAACCGGGCCGGTTCCGGGCCTGTACAGTGACGGGCCGGGCCGGGCCGGTCCCGGGCCAGGCGGCCCGAACCGGGTCCAAGCCTACACTGATCTGATCCTCAACACACTTGTCATCTCTCGGAATCTCATATTAAGTATTAACTATTTAATATTAGTTCATTTTATCTTAATGTTTGACACTTTTCATTGTGACTTTGATTTATTATTGCTTTTATAATAATTTAAAGATAAACTTTAGGTAAGTTCAAGTTATAATGACGAGAAAGTTCCCGAAATAGGACTAAAACAGTTTGAAAATTCCAAAATAGGAATGTTTTTATTCCCAAAATAAGAGTAATTACTGTCAAGTTTGGAAAATACTGCCATGTTTGAAATCTGGTACTGCCAAAACATGACAGTAATTAGTCCTATTTTTGGAATAAAAACATGGCAGTCCTATTTTAGAATTTTCAAACCTTTTTAGTCCTATTTCGGGCAATATCTCTATAATGACCCTACACAATGAGAGATGGATATTAGCAAATTAGGTTAAGACATGATGGGGCGGGTCATGGGCCAATACCACCTATATCTGATGACCCACATGGATACTTGGAAAAGTGACGAAACAAATCTGGGTCTTGCACAGTTGCACTACCCATCCTGCCCAGGCCGGCCGCCCGCTCTTACCCATTGTCATGCCTATGTATGATGATCAGTTATCATCATAAATCAGTTATCCTCATAAAATCACAATTAAGAATGTAAATCTATTTTCCTTAAATTTTAATTAATGCAGAAGGTAGCCGCAACCAAATTACCAAAATCAAAAGAAAAAAGTACAGAATACAACAAGATGTGTAAAATGAGGATGTTTCAAATGTGTGGCGGTAAACCTCAATATTACTAAGTTAAACTTCTTTTATAATAAAATAGAAAAATTAAGGAACTAAAAAACCCTAGAATACATGTGATATGAACAAACCAATGCAATAGTTACAACCAATCTGCAATTTTTCGCTATTTCAAACTCTGCCGCTGAAGCCAATCGTGTAAAATCAGACAAGTAAAATCAAGAGAGAAAATGGTAAAATGCTAAACCCCACCCCACCTTTACAAATCTAAAACCCCTCAAGAAAAGGAAAAAAAAGCACAATGAATCCGTGCAAATGAATCGCGTAAAATGCTTCTACCAGACCTTTTCCACTGCCATTTCTTCCGCCAGCCCTGGCATTTTTGTTGTTGAATATACCTTTGTCCGAAATGGTGCAGGCTTGAGATATATATAGCGATAGATATAAACAAGTTTGACAAAAACGTTGATTGTGGTTCCCCCCTGTGGGGTTCTTCAATAAGACCAAGTTGACTCACAGCAAACCAGCAAGGAAAGCCCCAGGATCTGCTGATACTGCTGCAGCCGGTGTTGGGTGTGGAGGCACTTCTGCTGCTGCTGCTGTAGCAGAGGGCCTAGGAGCTGCTGTGGGAATGACAATTAACTGTTCTTTGATGAACTCCTTCAACCTATATATGTAAATACAAATGAGCACAGTGATGATAATTCAACTATCCGTTTGATTGAATGGACAAACACATGGATAGTGTTCTCAATAAACTTGACATACTCGAAAGTTACAGTTGGGTCACCAGAGGCTACTGTCATACGCAACTGGGTTCTATCTGCTGGATCCGTTTCTATTCTTACCTGTGTATACATTCAGTGTAATAATATAAAAATATCTGCTAACTGCAGGGGCCAAAGAGAATATAGTAGTAAAAAAGGAGCGTTTTGTGTATTTTGTGCAAGATATCAACTTTAATATCCTTGAGCCAAGAACTTTAATGTTTTTCTTTTTCTAGTAGCATACTAGTAGGGGTGTAAAATAGAACCCATTTAAATGATGGGTTGGATATCCATCTGTGAACACGTTTTTACGGAAGGTTCAGGATGACAGGACATTTTAAATGAACTTTTAATGAATGGTAAATGGATTAATGGATTCTTTCAACCCAACCATTATCATCCGCTTACATTTAGCCCATTCATCCATTTGTGACCCTTAAGATAACTATGAGTATGTTTACTTGCTGCCAATACAAATTTTAAAACCAAAGCCCGAACATATTAGAATCTGGCATTTTGAAAGAGCCTAATATACATGACAACGCCTTCAAAATCCTTCAGTGAAGCAATAATCTATATTTTACAATGAGAAAATTAAAAGTGGAACTTCTGTAATGCTCACCAAACACAGCATGGCTCGTGTACTCTCTGAATAAAAGGTTGTGCTCGCAATCAAGTTGTTTGCATTTGGATCCTAAATGAAAATGATCAAGAATTCAGAGTGCAAAATGTCAAGTTAATCAAAGACATCTACAAAACCCATTATTAACGAGTGTAAAAATTGGGTCATCAAAAAACGTAGTTCACTTACAAGCCCCGGGCAAACCATCAACCGGTAACTGTGGAATAAGTTTGCCATCTCTACAAGTGACATAGGTCTTACACCTCTAACCTGAGGAAAATAATAATAGCTAAACAAGGTTAGACTTGTTCATTTCCTTATGCTGTAATAGCTTATTATTCTCTAAGCATGCAAGT